TTTACATTTTCTAATTTTAAAAAAAAATGTATAAAATAAATTCTAGATATAACACATTTTTTTATTTATAATGCAAATTATTTTATTAGTATTTATACTGATATCTTATTTATTTATAATACTTATATGATTTTAAATTTATATAGTTAAAAACTCAAGAAAAAGCAGGTATGTAATAACTATATTTTTCAAGTTTTGATATTAATATACCAAATTATTTCAATTAAGCTAATAATAAATTATTTCTTATATGTATTAATATATAATTAAGTAGATAATCTTTTACTATGATAAATTTAATCAACTTTATTATTATATAATACTAATTTATAATTTGTCTTAGCTGATTATAAAAATACTAGTAAATACAAATGAGTTTAAATATATTATACATTAGTATTATAAAGCTATTTTACTATAATATTACAGTTCAAGAATAGCGGTAAAAATACTGAATTTTTTTATCACAGTGTCAACCATTTTTTATTATTTATATTTACTAAATCAAACAATAAATGTATTATATAGTCAAAATTGAATTTTCTAACAAGAATATGATTCAAACTGCATCTCATAAGATGTTTAAATAACTTTAAAGAATATTATTCAAGATAAATCTTCCTTGACCTTCATATAGCCTATACCTATCAAAATATATGGGCAATTTTATAGAAAAAGATAAAAATAAAGATTAAGAATTTGTATAAAAAAAAATAAAATAATTTCTTATAATATTTTTCTCAATAAAATCTGATAAAGATAGGATAATCTATATTATAGAATGCTTACTTAGATGTTTCAATATTGTGTCAAACTAGATTAAAGTATAAATTACGCAGAAGAAGATCACACAAAATATTAATCAAATAATAAAAAATATTGTGTTAATATCAGTTTTTTAAATAAATAAAAAATTTTACATTTTAAAATTTAAGTTTATACATATCATTTAAAAATGTGTCCGCTATTTTTTCACTAGGAATTGTATATTAGAAATTATATCATTATTAATTTTAAGCTAATAATATATATGTATTTTTATATTTTATAAGTTCTATAATATTACAATTAAAATTAACTTGAATTGCAATTAAAATTATTATTCTATAATTTATTACTTTAGAATCTATTACAGTGATATCGCACTTATGTAATATTTTTTAATTAGTAGCAAAAAGTCTTTTATTATTATTTCATAAAAAATAAAACAGATAATACAATATCATCAATGTAAAACTTATTATCCTTTGAAAATACAAATATTTGTAAATAGTATATTTATTAAAAGTTGAAAAAAAAATAGGCTGAAAGTTGAAAAAATTTTATTTGAATATGTTTTTTTTATTATTATTTTTATTAGCTTATGTATATAATTTACATAATAAAAATTTATTTTTGAGTTTATAATTAAAAGAGAAAAGTTAATATCATATGAAATTTACTAATAATTTATAATACAAGTATCATATTTTATTGTTATAATCTAAATTAATAACTAATTTGATTAATAAAATTATTTAATTAACAAATATATAAAGTATTTTTTTAGTTAGGCAATTAACTATTTTATTTTTTCATATTTTTTAATAAAACTTGTTTAAGAAATCACTATTTATTAAAGTTTTTTATTATAAATATACCAGTATAAAATATTTTATTAAAAAATTTTTTTGATTTTAAAAATACTAATCTAGCAGCTAGTTCATATAAAACTAATGTTAGATATGAAAACTAATAATATTAGTTTGTTTTACTTAATATGTTAAAATTTTTATTTTTTTAATATATTTAATTTAAAAAATTAATTTAAAACTAATATATTTAAAACTGTTTTTAAAAAACAGATATTATGCTCTTTTTTAATTAATGCATCACCAATTACATTCTAATATTATAATACTTAAGAATTAATTAATAATAAATATCTATTAGATTAATATTTTTAAAAATAAATATACATTTTGATTATTTAAAAAACACTTACTTTATATTAGAATCCTTTCTGAACTAATTGAAATCAACAATTTTTAAATTCATATTTAAACTTATCAGGTAATAAGTATTCTATTATAATTATTTTTAATTATCATTAAGATCATTAATAGTAAATAATTTTAATGCAATTTTTTTTTGATAACAAAAATTATGAATTTCTTGACTATAATTATTTTATAAAATTTAATAATCTATTATTAAGATATCTTATTTTTTATATTATTTTTTTATATCTTTTTAATTAGAAAAAGATGTTTTGATTTATATAATTATTTTAAATAAATAAACTGATAATTATTATTATTATAACTTTTGAAGAGAGAAAAATATGAATTATAATAAATTTTTAGTTTATTTATTTTAGCTTTTAATATATTAAATATAATAAGAATATTTATGAAATAATTATGATAGTATAGAATAAGCATCAAAGGTATCATAGAAGCAAGAGGTTTAGTTGTGATTTTTTTTCTAAAAATAGCATTAGAAATTCTAAGCTATAATCTAACAAAATACAAAAGGAAATAAGGATTAAGATATTTTTCACTATTTTTTATCATTAAAATGTATTTTTTATAAAAATTACAAGTTTTGTCTATATAGATCACCTTTTTTTATTCTAAGTTTATTTTTTGTTTTTAAGATTAAAAGAGTATGTTGACCTTCTCTAACACTATATAAAATTATATCATTTGTTTTATGTTTACTTTCAGTTGAGTATAGATTTATTTTATTTTAAGAAGTTTATATATCATCTCTTGAAAATATTTTATTTTTGCATCTTCATTATGATAAACTTTTGCTATACATTTAAGATAATTTATTATTCTATTTTTTTACTTATTTTATAATTTATAATATTAACTTTTTTTGCAAAAAGTCTCACTTTAAAATTTTTAAAGATATGATAGTATATAGATATTAGAATTTTTAAACTATTTAGTCAGTAATTGCATATTATATTATGATAATATTTTTTTATTTTACAATAACTTAATAATGTATTCATATTTTCCCTTTTATTTTTTAGAATCTTGTTTGATTCTATGTATCTTCTATTTTGAATAAATAATTAAATACATAAAAGAAAATATCAATATAATTTTTAAAAATAAATATAAAATTTTATCTTCAACTTTATATTTTATTTTTATAAAAAAAAATAAGTATTAAGAAATATAATTAAAGTGTAAAATAATTAATGATAGAAATTTAGCATATATACAAATAATATTAACCTTTATTTTCTTCAGCATCTTTTGTAATATTAGTCAATAGAAAGAAGCAATAGAAAAGTAGATCAAAAGAAATGAAGAAGTATAAGTCAATTAAAAGCTATATAATATATCAAATAAATAAAATAATTTTTTGTACATTTTTTTATACAATCTGTTTATTACCTTTTCTTTATTAAATTCAATTAATAAATATTATAAAATATTACTTGCTGCTTCTAATCGTCCTTGTTATTCATTAATCTATCTCTTTCTTTATTAAAATCCTTTATTTTATCTTTATATTTTTTCTTTATTTTTCATTTCTAAATTCTTCTTTATTAGACTTCTATTCTAACTCATCTAATTACTCCTTATATTTTCCTTTCTTTCACTTCATAAACTTCTTTTGCTTTCTCATATTCCTTAGTTATTCTATTTAAATTCTCTTATATTATGTTTATTTTTTTGAAAAAAAAAATGAATTTTTATTTTTATATTTAAAGAATAATAAATTTAGAAATTGACAATATAAATTTACTGCAGTAATAAGTGATTTATTTATCTTTATAATCATGTGATATAAAAAAATAGATTAGATTATTTATCAAAAAATTTTTGATATTATCTTTACAATATTATTTATAATTTCTATTTTTAAAATTTCACTTATAACACTTTCATATAAATAAAATTTACAAATTGTGTAAAAAAAAAGGAAATAGGAGGGAAAACAATATATAACATTAATAAACTTAATAATATTTCTTTTTTATTTTTTGCTAAATATTTTGATTAAAATAAAAGAGATAATTTCAAAATGTGAATAAAAACAGGTTTGTGTAGTATTTATTATACTCTTGCAAGTATTTAAAAATGATTCAGGTTCTTCAAAAGAAATTTAAAACAAATCTCAAAATCTTTTCAATGAAAAAAAAGAGTAGGTAAACTAGTATTATATAAGGAAAGACATTGATAATAATGATCCAAAAGAAAATAACAATCTCTAGAAAATCATTTATGTCTTATATGTCTTCTATGTTATCTATGCCATTTATTTCTTCTATTTAATATATTATTTCTATTTATTTTATCTTATTTATATCATTTATTTATTATATTATATTTATTTCATTTATTATATTAATTTCTTTTATTATTTTGATAACTTTATGTATTTCATTTATATAAATAGAAGACATTTTCTTTAGCTTAGCAGTGTGTCTTGTATCTTAGAAATAGTTTTATTTAGATAGTTTACTTTAATTTCCCTAACACATTTGTACAGTACAGAGCGCCGACTGAGGCAGTACTCAACCTTCTGCTTACCATTTGAAATTATTGCATTGCTTATCACTTATAAGCATCTTAAAGTAACACTAGTTACTCATAAAGTTTCAACCATAAATTTATGGATTGTTGCATATTGATCGCATGTAATCTTATGAATATGATGATCAAATCTTTAACCAATAGTCAATTTTTTTTTTTTCATATAACACTCGAAACATTGTTTAGATCTTTGTACTTTTATAAATCATTAATTTTCGTAAATATGCATCAGTTCTTACAGATTTTACAGGAAATGAAATAAAAAATATTATATATCGAAAATTAAACTAAATAATTATATTGTAAAATTTGAAAAAAATCTTAGTTAAAAGTTTATACTAAAGTATGACTTATAACTATCATATTGGTGTGATTTGAAATACTTCATAATCTTCTATAAAAAAGAAATCTTCGGTATCTCTAATTATTTTTTCATAAGAATTCTTTTTACAGTAACCTCTAACTCCTCCATACGTAATAAGGTCTGAACTAAAGGAAGGACCACAAGTTATATCGTTTAAAACGTATTCTTTATTTGCTACACGACTTAAAATATGATTGTCAATATCCTTATTGTCCTTAAAAGAGAATATAAAACTATCTTCATTGGCTCCAAACTTTTCATCTGTAACGCAAAAACTGTGATCAAAATTCCATTCAACCGGATTATATCCTCCAAGAATCTCATCACTATCTTTCACTTTAATAACTAATACTGTACACGCGTGATTATCACAAATTTCATGGAAGACTTTAGGCGTGAATCCATCACGAGATCCACGAAGTAATAATTCGACTTCAAATGATTTAGTAGGTTTCGATCCATAGAAAATGGCTGTAACCAGCGAGACATAGATATTTGCAGTGTCCACATGATCGATCCATTTTGTAATTAATTCAATATGTTGATTCGAAATGATTTTGGAATCAATGGATGCTTCCTCAACCTTTTCATTAACCTCGGTCATTGAAGATTTGGTCATTTGTGATTCGAGTTTAACCTCTTGAGATCCCTTAATTATCTGAGATACTGATATGATCTCCTGAGTATCCTTAGTTATTTGAGTTTCCGATTTAATCCCCTCTCTAACTATCTGGGATTCTAAATTTATCTCCCGAGTTTCCTCAGCAATTTGAGGTTCAATCACCCGAGTTTCTTTGGTTATTTGAGGTTCTAATTTAATCTCCAGGGTTTCTTTAGTTTCTTTGGATTTTGATTTATCATCACTTGACGTTAAATAATATTTAACTAAATCAATATACAATTCCTTTGGCAAAACTTTTTTATAAGGTAATACTTTGTTCAAGAATTCATTAGAAGACAAATTATAAAATTTAATAAGTGGAATAAATGATTGTAAAGAATTCTTCAAAACTTTGAAATCATCTTTTGAATAATCAGAAGGTTCTAGGGGAAGCTCTGGATTCTGAGCAATTCCCCATTTCAAAACATGTTCCCAAACTTTAAAATCACTCATTGAAAGGCTACCACTTCGAATTAGAGAGATAAAAGATTTCTCCGATATTGAAGCAAAATCAAATGACTTAAAGATCTTTTCTGGCTCTTTGGTCATTAAATCAGTGCAAAACATTTGAAGTTCAACAAAAGAATGCTCAACGCTTGTTTGATATATCTGATTAAAATTTTCTTCCATCCAATTTGCTTTGTTTTCAATCAAAAATGGTTGTAAATGAATGACTAATTCCTGAAGGCCTAGTTTATTGGCAGCGATTAAAATACTAATAATATTTGAAGTATCATATTCTTCTAAAGGAAGTTTCCCTCCATAAATATATCTTTATAAGATTAAAAAAAATTGTTTTTGTAAAAATTCGTAAAACAAAAAAAAAGAAAGGAAAAAAAAAATAATAAATTCGATTTAAATCACCTCAAGATGATTTGAAAAGCTTCGGGGTCAATATTTGGTAACTTAATATGTGTCAAAGATCCATCATCTTTCTTTTCATTAGATGACAAAATTCTTCGCAAACGAGGGGAACGATAATATAGAATAACTATATGAGCTCGAAATATCTTTACATAAGGATCTTCCCCAACTTCAATCGTAACATCATAAAACTCGTCATCGTCTAAGATTTCAAGCAAATTTTGTAATAATTTTGGTAAAAGTTTGTTATCAACCATTTTGGTATTAAAGATTTTTTTGAAATTTTTTTTCGGCATTTTAATTATTTTTAATCGAGAATTTTGTGACACGGTCTGATCGTAAACCGGTTTCGGTTCGATTGATCAATCTATCTAATTTATGGAAATAAAGTTTCGGATAATAGATAGATTGCAAAAAAAAAAAATTTTTTGTATTTTATTTTTTATTATAATAAAATTTTTTGATTGGTGTCGTACAATTCTACAATGTTGTTTTTTAATTTCGTCTTTTATAATATATATAAACTCCGGTCTAAATTTCGGTCTAGACTCCAGTTTCAAATCGGTCTACAAATCGGTCTACAGTTCGATTTTATCCTCTAACCGATAAAAATCGGACCGAAACCGAACTGGTCGAACCGTTAACATCCCTATACGTAGCACATTAAAAATACTCGTCACAAACTTTAATTTATACAATTTCCTATTGACTCCTTTTCGTCTAAATTCCGGGAATCGAAAACAATGCACTTTGAAACTGATTTTCGCGAGATAGTAAAAAGCAATGGACATTGTTACATTCTTGTTTGAATATCACGTGAATTTTTTGAATTTATTGAGAAAGGACTATATATAAAGGTTAAAAAAAGATTTCATTATCTAATAATTAAATTTAATAAACTGATCAATTTATTTTTGAATATCATCGCGTCTTTTTTTTAGTACTTAAATCAATTGAAATCGAACGTTGCGCAATATAAAGAAAGACTGACATTTGATTTTATCACTTCGTGGATAAAATGAAATTCTTATAAATTTATTTTATATTTTACAAAAAAAACAAAAAACAAAAAAATATGAAAATTTAGATAATTTGAAATATTTCATACTCTTCCACCGAAAAATAACTATCACTGTCTCTTATTCGTCTTTTATAGTCACAATTTTCACAGTAACTAAAGTAAGTATTTCCAGAAATACAAAGATTACTTTGCCAAATGAAGGACCAGAAGCGAACCAATAATTTATAGCATGCGCCCCATTCTTTACACGACTTAGGATATGATTTTCAATAGTTTCCTTACCCTTAAAGGAGAATATGAAACTCTCTCTGGTACGACCATAAACATCATCCAAAGAAGTCGTAAATTTCCACGCAACAGGGTTATATCCTCCGAGAATTTCGTTACTACCTTTTATCTTAATCACCGTAACAGTACGAGTTTGATCATTGCAAATTTTCATGGAATTTGTCAGGTGTAAATCCGTCACGAGATCCGCGAAACAATAATTTAAATTTGTAAGGATCATCTGTATCTAATTTTTTGATCCATTTTGAAATTAACTTTGCATGTTTAGTTGTGATAATTTTTGAATCCATATTTGTTGTACCGACCTCCTTAATCATCTTGAGTCGATTCATATTAATTTCAAATTTGTTGCTTAGTCTATGATTGTTAGGATTCATAAATTTTTTTAATAAACCTTTGTATAATTCTACGGGTAAAATCTTCTCATAAGGGGATACTTTATCCAAGAATTCCTTGAAAGTCAAATTATAAAATCTAATGAATGGAACGCAATGTTGTATGGTATTCCTCAAAGTGACAAAATCGTTGATTGAATAATTAGAAGGGTTTGAAAAAAAGCCTGGGATTCTGAGAGATTCCCCATTTCAACACATGTTCCCAAACTTGAGCATTACTCATTTTAAGGTTCTCGTGTTGAATGAGTGAGACCAATAATTTCTCTGGAGTTAAATAGTAATTTGACAAGGTAAATATCTTACCGGGTTCCTTAAAAGCAATTTTAGTGCAAAATTTTTGGAGTTCAGAGAGAGATTCATGTTCAAAGCTTGCTTTATATATTAAATCAAAATTTTGTTCCACCCAGATCATTTTGTTTTCAATCAAAAATGATTGTAAATGATAAATTAATTCATGAAGACCTAATTCATTGACAGCTTCTAAAACCTTGATGATGTCCGATACATGATATTCCTCTATAGAAAAATGTCCTCCATAAATATATCTACAAATAAAAAAAAGAAAAATTTGTTTATCTATTTCGCACGCATACACGCACTTCTTTTCAAAGTGAAGTATTTTATCTTAAAATAACACGAAAAATTTCAGGAGAAATATTTGGTAATTTAATATATGCAAAAGTCTCATCATCATTTTTAGTTTTTTTGGTTGATAATTGTTTTTGAAAATAAGAGAAATGGTAATACAAAATAACCATGTGAGCACAGAATACTTCTATATTTGAATCCTTTCCAACTTCAATGATGATATCATAATATCCATCATCGTCTAATATTTCAATTAAATTTTGTGATAAACTTGGCAAATATTTATTACAACCCATTACAATTGAACGTTAAAAGTTGTAAAAGAAAATGTGAAAAAATTTCTCAAGAATCATACTAATTTGTAATATGAGCGGATTCTAACAGTCGAAGTATAACAATGATTTAATCAAACAAAATAAAATAGATCGACTCTCTTGTTTTTGTAAATTCTTTCTTTATTTACCAATTTTTTTTTGTTTTAATCTACATTCTTTATATTCTTTATCCCTTTTAAATATGATTATTGAAATTACAGATCTTATTAACAACAGATCACCATTATTTATCGGATAGCTGCGTCTCAATATTCAAGACCGATTATCAAATAATTATGTTAGAACGCGTTTTTTGAAGTATATGTTTTACTATATCACTCGATGACCATATATTCTGATAGATGTTTAAAAATTAATCTACGGAATATCACGACGCAGCTGTACATAACTTATACTGAATTGTAATGTTACTAGGAAACGGTAAACCGTTATTAAGTCTAGAACGAAAATCTAACTAAAGTAACACAAATTTCTATTAAAAAATCAAGTTAACTCACGTGTCTAATTAATTAGTTTTAATAATAATAACCAACCAACTATTAGAAAATGTAACATAAAAAATCTTAATAAAATAAACTATTAGAAAATATAACACAAACAAGTTCTTAATAAAATAGACTATAGAAGTTTATTAAATAAATATCATTGCGTTTTAATTAAACAATAATGCATATGTACAATATTAATGCTTTTTAATTGTGTTTGTACCAGCTTATAAATTTGTTCGTTATCTATCACAATGGCCTTATAAAAAAAAATTTATATAATAAAGTTCCAATTGTATTTAAATGTAAAATTGATTTGAAACAAGAATCTTAATAACCCAAAACTATATAATTTGATTTTTTCTAATTTCTTAATCCAATAACAGATAATATCATACTAATAATTAATAAGATTGTATTATTTTAATAATAAAATTAAATTATTTACAATAAAATTCTTCAAATCAAAGTTCAATATAAAAAAATGAGTAATAAACCTACTAATTCTAAGACTCTCAAAAAGCATAAAGAAAAAAATGATGAGATAAATGAACAATATGAAGAACGTCTTACATATGATTGTGAAAAAAATGAAAACAATAAGCAAATAAATCATCAAAAGATTATGAAGATAGGCTTACAAATATGCGAAAATAAAGAATGAAAAAAGTTCTGATGAGACTACTAAAAAATGTAAGATTTATCTTAGATTTAAGAATGAATGTAAATATAAAGTACATCTTTAAAACTTACAAAATTCATAATGTACTAGCAATATAAAATCAAAAAAGAGATAATAACTCATCCATAAATAATAGACTACTTTCAGTCATAACTATTAGCAAAGAAAACATAGTTTATTACAGAAATTCTATAATAAAATGACTAACATTAGGTATAAATTTTGTCTCATATGCAATAAACGAATTCTATCAATGATGATCAGCAAATGCTAATATTATTACATAAAAAGATATCATTAAAGAAGTTTTTAGCCAAAAACAATATAGATCCTAGATGAAAAAATTAAAAGGTCTTATAGAAATCAAAGAGATGTTAATTACTTAAATTTTCACAGTAATATTAGTATATTAATTTTAAAAAGGTCAAAATATCTATAGAAGAAATATTATAATCTTTTCTCAAAACATACAAGAATTCACAAATCAGCTTTCATGATATTTATCATCATTAAATATACTCTTAATGTGATAGCAATTAACAAATGATTTAGTAAATTTCAGAGATTTATTGTATGTTCACAAAAAAATTGCTAGAATACTATTTTAATTAAAAAAAAATAACATTTACTATAAAGACATAATTATTAACAATGAAATTATCTGTAATTAGTAATCAGCTTAAGTAAATTTCTGATGAAATAACAGACAATATATCAGATAATAAAAGAAATAAAAATGAATAAATATTACATTTATTTATACCATCTTTACCTTTAATATAGCAAAAAATAATGCTATTAATGATATATTTAACTGTATGTAAAGTAATAATTCTTCTTTGATTTAACCAGAAATTGAAGGCATTCCTATTATTGAATTTAATATATCTAGATATATAATAAGAGTATTTCTAACCTTTTATCTATACAGATATGATGATTTTTATTTTGAATAGTCTTAAAATATCAAACTGGTTAAATATTTTAAGTATTTATTATAGTATAAAGATGAAAAGTTTGTAAGATATTTCAGATGGAGATATTTTACTTTAAACTTTATAATGAAATAGAGAATTTTATAAGGAAAAATTTACATTAATCAGCACTTAAATAAAGGATAACAGATATCTAAGAAATAATTAACAATAAAAATAATTGAATAGCAGATTAGATAATAAAATATGAGAAAGGATTACATAGTTTAAGACAGTTTTAGATAACTAAACATTACGAGTTTTTAGATATAGTCAAGTAGATAGGCCATTAAGAACTGATATTTTTTACCTTTAATATAGCTAATGTTATTAGTTTGAACTCTATCTATTAATACCAGATAATAGAGAAGATTCAGATTTTGTAAAGCATCATATAAAGAATATTATAAATAATCTATATATTATCTTTTGGTTCTTTAATAAACGTTTTAAAATATTCATTTATAATATATTATTATTTTAATAAAACTTGAAAAATTAGTAATTCTGATATAAATGATAACATCAGAAAGTATACATATGTATAATATAAAAAGGTATAAAATATATCTGTAATCAATTAGAAGTAATTAAAAAAAAATAAAAAAAAAATAAATAACATAATATAATATATAGATTCAATAGTTATTATAATCAATCTGAAAATTAATATAGCTATATCAGAATAACATCTATGTTAAAAATGTGATGATAAAAAATAATAGTTCACAAGATTATATCAAATTAATCAATAAACTATAGTAACACACATGTTATAACTCTTTATATTGTCTTAGAGTTGACAGAAGAATGTATCAATAAAAATGCAAATTTAGAAATCTTATAGATTATAGTATAAAAAAGAAGGGAACTATTTAAAATTATTGAATAATTATTATACAAAGTTCAATAGAAAATAATGAGATCAAATTAAATTTACATTCTTCTGTAAAATGTAATAATTGTTTTAAAGTTTCAATAAAGCTATTCCTTTAAAAATACAAGCTCATCTTGATGAGTATT